ACTTCATCCCCATACTCAGGAGGCTGGTTAACGTCGCCGATAGAGAAATTAAACCGCCATTCAATATTTATAGCTGAAAGCATTGGTTTCTTCCTGGCAATGTGTGAGGAGTATTTGTGGAGATTCAGGACTTTCCTCACAGTCTCATGGCAACCTGTTTTTCTGCAATAATTTTTTAAGTCCAAAGCCAACTTTCTGAGGGTTGTTGGCGGGTTTTTATCAATTTGTTTCGAAATTTTATAATGGTCGCGTTTGGAGAGCTTTTGGTAATCTGCCTGTAGAATTGTACAGGTCAAGTCTATTTTTGTTTTTAGACCGTTTAATTATTTTATACATTGTTCCTAACTTAATATCAAAAATTTCGGAATGTTCCGACGCCGATTACCCTTTATAATGGTTAAAGTAAACCAATTCTATGTTATTATCGTCAATACGTTTGCCGGGCATGATTTAAATTCTGGACTCGATCAAACACGAACTTTTTCCAACGAAATCTTTCAAGAATATAAAAGTAAAGACCACTAAGAAGTGGCAAGCGTTAATTTTCCTCAGAATTAGCTTTGCGTTGCTTAATTCTAGGAACCTCTTCAACTCCTGTTTGCATTTTGCAAAGAATTAATTGACAGCATACGAATTGCAATGTTTTTGTTATTGCTATTTTTTACTATGTTTTAAGATAAAATATTTAAGTTTTGTTTTTTATATTTATAGATTAAAGTTATCCTAATAATATTATAAAAGAAAATTTTTAAAAATTCTTGTATTTGTCAATAAATTTTCAGTTTAAACCCAAAATTGTGAGGGATTTTTCGTTTTGCAAAGAATTACTTGACAAACTGTATCTAAAATCTGATCTTTTGCGACCAGGATGCAATGGAACTGCCCTCATGGAACACCGGCCTAGTCTCCTAACCTTAACGTCATTGAGATGTTCTGGACAATTTAGGATCTGGCTACCCGCAGGAGGTCGATATCCAACAAACATTAGCTCAAAACAGCCCTCTTGGAAGAATGGTTCAAGATCCCAAAGGTTTAAGATGTAAATAAGCAAAATGGAGGCCACACTAAATATTAAGCTTAGTTATTTGCACGAAATAAGCTGTGACATGGAAAAAGTTAGTATTTGTATTTTTTTTTATTTTTTAACTTTAAGCGTTATCTAGTGGTATTTAAAAATAATGAAGGGTCAACAAAACTGCATTTAAATTTTGTTCATATCTCTTACAGTTCGTCAACTATACAAGTTTGAATTTCAAGTTAACCTTTGCACGAAATAAGTTGTATACACTGTATGTATAAACAAGTTGGCGGCGCAAAAATAAACAACAAACAACACGTTCCAACACGGGAACATGCTATGTACAACTGACCATGCGAAATACAGGGATATTCAAGTTTAATCTTACAGACTTCCAACGATTGGCCTTGGTATATATTGACTGTCATCCCATGCCAACTTAACTGGGAATTGAATCCGCTTAAATTGAAATGGAAGATTATTTGGCATTACTGTGACTTCCGCTCATTTGAATTTGCCCTTGATGATCGTTGCTTGAATTACACTGTTCATTAGTTTCTTAACGGACAACCGCGTACCATTGTACAATTTCGCATGATTCAGATTCCGTAGCATAATTATGATTGAGGCAACTTTCAGATGAAAATTATGCGGCGAAAGCCCTGGCACATCAAGAGAGTTCAAAATACCGTCGGATAGTTAGTACCTTCATCCTCGCTGGTCACGCCGTTGGCGGATTTGTATGAATTTAGTTCTCCCGCGATTTGACTTTGAAAAATGGAATTCAAACTATCGACGTCCTTATTCTTTGCCTTTAGTATTGCTCGTTCACTAACCTAATTAAGATTTTTATAACTTTGGGTAATGCCGAGGAAAACTTTATTAATGAGTTCGTCCTTCAAAGACGAAAAGTGTTGGACAAAAATCTCGGGATAGCAATATTTAAGTCCTACCTTATAATCTTGAATCATTTCCTTAATCCTGTTTCGATTGGTCTACTGTAGTATCTTGCCATTTATTTGAAATCAAGTAATCCCCTTGTGGTTTATTCAAGAATCTTTATTCGAATGTTTTTTAGATTTCTTAAACTAAGGCTTGCTGTCGGCGCAGCGGCAAAGCTGCCGATTTATTATATTATATATTACAAATATATATAAGCGGTCAGTGTGGGAACCGTGCTGACTCAGCTCTAATCGGTGAGTGCTAAAATTGCACGATTGCACTTGAAATGGTTATGGGTGCTTGGCATGTTGTCTCTGAGTGACAAAGGCAATGCCCTATGTACTTTATTGGCATAACAACATAGTGTTGTGACTTCGGCTGACAAAGTGTTGCCGCTCAATATTTATGTAATGTAATAAGAGCGCATATGGGCATACAATACACTACTGCTACCAAACCTCGTTTATGCCCCATCGTGTATTCATCCCAAATAAGAATTTTACATTTTTGCATCAATTTTGATGTCACCGAATTTTTGTGCACTTTGGATTTTCAATCAAAAGAAGATTGAAAGGCAGCTTTAATGCGGAACGTGCAGTGCGACTGCCTTCCAGCAATGTGGCAGCAATGCCAGATAATGCAACAGCTAACGCTATTTGAGATCTTGACCGAATAGTTCCCAGAATCAGCGCGATTCAAGTCTAAATGTACAGGTTGTCTTCTATTAAAATTTCGTATATTCTGAGGTAGCGTTTCAGCAGGGCGAACTTGTGCATATTGGTTCCGTCTTAATGCATTTTGTTCGGCAAGTTCATCTTGTGTTTGATTTTTACGAATATTCATTTGCCGATGTTACGTACTTCACATCGGCAAATGAATATTCGAGCAAAATGCATTAAGACGGAATCAATATGCACAGGTTCGCCCTGCTGAAACGCTACATCAGAATACGCCGACCCATGTACGATCTCCTAAAGGCAAGCATTATTTACAACAAGAAAGGATGCTAACTTCGACACTATGAATTTAGTGATCTTGTTTATAATTATATACTATTGCTCTGAATTTAATAATTTTGTTTGTAATTATAAATTATTTTCTTCTTTTTAGTTCGGTTATTTATAAAAGCGTGTTTTTTTTAGTTTTTTTAAACTATTAATTATTAGTTTAGTATTGGTGCTGGTGGGCAAATGTTTGGATGCGTACTTTTGGTTCTTGCTACATTTTAAGTTGCGTCTTTTCCAAAAAAGGTCGTAACTTTTACCAATATTCGCCGTAAAAGAAAAAATAAATGTAAGGTGTCGTGTATTTACACATAAATTGTTTTAATCTTAAATTTAATTAAATTTTAAAAATTATATATGCAAAAATCTTGTACGTTGTTTTAGTAATAATTAGAAAAATTAGCTTTGGCTTCGATTTGGGCTTTTAGCCTGCCTGGAAATAAATTTATTGAGTTATGTCCAAAATAACAGGCATCTCTTATTTTGCTTATGCTATGTCCTCTGAACTGGTATCTTTCGCCTTGTTTTCGGATTGCAGATCAAGATAACAAGAAAATCTATTTCAGGGATTTTTTATATTTATTTGGCATAATAAAATGTCTATTATGTCTATTATTTTAATACCCTTGATGGTATAATAATTTTAGAAGTTTGCAACGCAATAAAGAATCGACATAAAGTCGATCTAGCAGTGTCCATCTGTCCTTGTTTTGTGAACTAGTCTCTCAGCTTTTTGAATTAAACTTTGCAGATAGTCTTCTGTATAATCTCTCATATAGCTGCCATAGGAACGATTAATTAATAATTATAACCTTTTCAGTTTCAACATATTTTTTTCAAATTTGAAATTTACCGGCCAGCCTCGGCATTCACTTTTATTTCGATTTCGATTACTTTTTTTTTAGCTGCTACGGGTTTCACTTAATTTTTGCTATCGGAATGTTTCGTTTTTTTATCATTTATTACTGCTCAAACATCCGACTTCTTGTCTGATCAACAGCAAACAACGTGAAAAATGTTTTTTTCATTTAATATGGCTTACATTTTCATATATGAATTTAACTTTAAACAGCTGTTTCCCACAGAAAAGAGCTGCCACATTTTTCATTTTTCCGGTGGCACCAAATACCTCTGCAAATTTGGAAAATCTTTCAACTAATTATCCACACTTTACAAATGTTTGACCCATCACAATAATATGGTGCGCCAACAAATTATAAACATATAAAAATGTAATTTACAGCAATGCTTTAACAAATTTGTTGCTACATTTCTTTCTTTTAAATATTAAGCTAAATACCAGCATTCTGCATAATATTATTATTAATAATATTTTATTTATTATTTTTTATTTTAACTCCGTCGCGATTTATTTGAATTTCGGTCCGGTGGTCCCAAATACTTATTATTATTATTATTCTTACTTGGCCACACATACCTAACAAACGCCCACTACCTCAACAGAACTAAAAACAGCCTCTTCCTCCACAGCCCTAACCTTTTCACTATGATAGCAAACCCATATAATCCAAACTCCAAAAACATCCTCAAATACCTTGATAGCTGCCAAATCTTCTATGAATCACATGAAAAATAAAATAAATAAATAATACAAAAAAAAAATAATTAAATTAAATAAATAAATAAAAAACAAAATACAGCAGTAAGCAATAAATTATTTTTGTAAATACATGTAAACTATTATAGCAGTAAGCAACATGTAAGTTCTGTAAATAATAACCAGCGAGCTGAAGGCCTTAGTTGCTATAGCTCTAGAACATAAGTTAGCTCCTAGTTTTTTTAACTATCTGTTAGCTTTAGATAAATAAATAAATAAATAAATATTACTTATTATTACTCATTATTATTAACGGTATGTAAAGTTTGAACGATGGACCTATCGACCCCTTGCAAATCGAAAATTCTTGTTGCCGACGGAAAATTTTTTTTGTGAAATCTAGAACAATCTAGAATTTTAATATTTTATTTTTATATAATTAATAATAAATATTTGTATTTTTTATATAAAATGACAGGCTTTTACAAAACGTAGCACGTATACCGGAATTCGAACAATTATGGCGTGATATTCTTTATAATCCGAAGAGCCTACATCCAACATTCAACGGAATTTGGCACTTACTACAAATTCGGACCAGTCGAAGATTTCTGCAATGTCGTCTTTTGCCCGAGATGGAACGAAAAATCAGCTTCCTAGCATCATCTGTAAAGTTTGGCACACAGAAAAGATACCAGGACTGGTTTCAGGATAAATACTTTGCAACACCGGAGTCACACAGCTTACGCTCTGACTTAATCCGATTCATCATTAACGTAATCCATCCGACTAATGATATGCTATGTTCGGATATTATTCCGCGATGGGCAATCATTGGTTGGCTCATCTCCTCATGCACAAATCCAATTGCTTCGGCAAATGCCAAGCTATCATTGTTTTATGATTGGCTCTTTTTTGATCCTGCCAAAGATAATATTATGAACATAGAGCCGGGAATTCTAGTTATGTACCATTCAATTAGAAATCACCCTTTTGTTAGTAGTACATTGTTAGACTTCCTTTGTCGAATAACAAAGAATTTTTATGTGAAGCACGACGATAAAATTCGAATGGGAGTTTACAATTCGTTAAAACTAATTCTCGACAAGCAGGTACGACTTGTATAAATCTAATATGTAATTTTAATATTTAATTATGTATATTTCAGGTTATTCCAAATATACAGCCACTTTTTGAATCACCGAAACTGGACAGAGAACTTCGTAATTTAATAAGGGAAAACTTTAGAGAATTTGTATCGTTACCAACTTCAAACGTGGGCCAATCCGTCGTGTACCCTCTAACGCATTCAATTCAAGCTGCTACTACCTTAAAAAAAGATACTGATCAGCAGCGAACAGTACTTGGTGATTAAGTTTTCCTTAGAGCTATTAAATAACAGTTGGCTATTTTGTTCTTTGTGTTCTTATTACTGATCGAATAGGGCAAACATAGTGATTAAATACCTCAGGTCAATCCCGTTTCTGTATGTACCTACTACTAAAAAAATCTGAAATCTTATGATTCTGATTCTGTTCCGACTTATAAAATACTTTCCATACAAAATGAAAATTATTGTATTTAGCTAAAAAACAGACAGATTTTTTTAAAAGGAACAGCCAGAAGGGCGTAAACAGATACACACTGAACTGTCAAGAATATACATATACGTATGAACTTTAAAGAGTCGCTGCGTTGCAAACTTAGGACAAAATAATTATCAAATTCTCAAGACATATGATATTCAGCTTTAACTTTATTCTTGAATCTGAAAACAAAAAGACTCCCTATTAAATATATAATTAAATCAAACTTTCGAAATCAAAAGACTAGGCAAATGATCTGACTTATAGATACAAACTAATAAATTATTGTACATAGGCCAGGTTGATTTTACTCATTCCTCAGAGTTCGTTAATAATATTATTGGAACAATTAATTATGGTCAACTGTTATTGCGAAGCTCTGCATGTGAAGAAATGAAAATTTATGAAACAATAAATATTTCTCTTTATGTATTTAATTACAGAACACGTTGATCTGCCTATTATTGGTTTTAGTCATAATAGTGCAACATCCTGTGCATTGGTGGATGAAGATAACAAAGCAACAATGACAACGGAGCGGGAAAATGCATTTAGCGACGAGGAAGTGGAAAATGTTGGAAAAACTTTCAAGAATGAAGAAAATACTGACGATGATGATGATTTGCCACTTTCTAAGGTATAAAATTCAAGAAAATTGCTTCAACTTTAAATAATTCTTTGTTAATACACTTTTCGCAGGTCAGATTAAAAGAGAAACCAAAAGTTGAACTGAGTGAAGCAATAGCTGAATCATTTGACACATTTATTACAAAGCGAAACTCATTTACATGGGAGGCATTCTTGAAAGATTTTCGACCTTTGCCAGCTTCAGCTTTTGAAGAATATCAGTTAAATTATGTGATCTCAAATACAGTTATAATTCTGCGCGAGACTTTGCCACCGCATCAGAATATTTTCTCCGAGAGCAAGACTGATGAAAAGTGTTTGGCGAAGAGTATAAGCTACCCCCTTTACGGCCTGTTTCGCTTTCTATATGAAAATGAAGAGAAAATAAAAAAACCATTTCAAACATTAATGTCGGAAATTTGCCATCGTATACCAGAAACGCGGTTTTTACTTCTATATTTTATGAAAATTCATTATAAATTACAAACTCGCAAAAATTCTCAACAATCATACCAGTTTAAAACAAATATTTACCGACAAATATGCGATGCGACAGATAACAAGATAGGGGATTGCCTAGTGCGAGACCTTGATCTGCTTGAGCAGGAAAACACAGCTATCTACTTGTGGCTTTTACCTGACATTTACAGAGAGTTCAAATCTATAGCTACGAATAACACTGACCTTCTGCGGATTACACTGCGCTGCATAGATGCTAAAAATGTCCGCGACATTATATACTCAGTGGCACAAGGAAAGCTTACAATATTTAAACAAGAAGGGTTAATTGATTGTCTTAGAGAAAGTTTGGATTTTGAGACTTACGAACAGTTTTGCCTATGGCAACTCGTACAAGCTCACGATGTACCCCTTAAAAGTATCCAGGTATGAACTAATAGCTATAGCTGGGGTTTCAAAGACATTTTGAACGATTTCTGAGAGACATTTTACCCTTAAAGGGTCCAATTTATATAATTTTATACACTATATTCTGATCAAAAACCGAGTGGATCCATGTCCGTCCGTCAGACTGCCTGTTTCTTCGCAAGCTAGTCTCAGTTTATGAGGTACCTGAATAAAACTTTGCAAATAGTCTTCTGACTACACTCACTAGTATTTTGCCAATTTTTAAACATATTTTCATCTAATTTGGGACATCGGTTTTAAATATTTTATAAAAAATATTCATATTCGTTAAAATAGACCACCAAATTAAGGACGGGAGCTTCCTGAAATTTGTAAAACATAATTTTCATGAAAGTCAGTCGGTGGGATGGTTGTAGGTTTATTTTACCAAACTTTTTTGAAAGTATAAGGTATTCCAAAAAAACCAAATTGTATTCTTTTTCCTGAGAATTGTTTCTTAATAGGTTTCTGTAATACCCTAAATCTATAGGATTCCTTACCCTGCCAGGGTTTTATAAAACAAAAAAGGAAGCTTACTTCGGCACGCCGAAGTTTATTTACTCTTGCAGATTTAACTTTTTATACTTATGTTAAAAAAAATGAAGTAATGCCTGCTGTAATTTCTTTATCATATATGTACATATTATATTTACAGTTTTACATTCACAGTTTTGCATTTTCCTCTAATTCTAACGATCGTTTATATAGCAGCTATATGATACAGTAGTCCGATATTTATAAAATTGTACAGAAAATTGTATAAAAATATAAAATGGCTATATCTTAAATTTGATAAAAATCTGTTGAAAAATGAAAAAGTTATAATTTGTAAATTGTAATTATATTTATTTCTTGATCGTTCTTATGGCATCTATATTATGTAGTCGTTCGATTTTCATAACATTTTATACAAAATTGTAGAATAATAAAATGGCCATATCTTAAATTTGATAAAATTCTGTGGAAAACTGAAAGTTATAATTTACAAAGTTTCATTCAGATAGCTCCAAAACTGAGAGACTAGTTTGCGTAGTAACGGACAGATGGACGGACGGACATGGCTAGATCGATTCGGCTGTTGATGCTGATCAAGAATATACTTTATATGGTCGAAGATGACTTCTTCACGGCAAACTTCTGACTGAAATTATAATACCCTGCAAGGGTATACATAACCATGTCTGTCTGTCTGTTTGTCCGTTTCTACGCAAACCAGTCTCTCGGTTTTGAAGAGATCTGAATGAAAATTTTTCATTAAATTTAAAGTATAGCAATTTTATATTATTCTACAATTTTATTTTAAAATCAGATCACTATATCATATAGCTGCCATAGAAACTATCTAAAAATTAATACAATTAAAAATTAAAATTTTGTTAGTTATCAACAGATTTTTATTAAATTTAAATTAAAGTCATTTTATATTTCTCTACATTTTTTTTTTTATTTTATACTAATCGGACTACTATATCATATAGGTGCCAAACAAACGATCGTATGTAAATGTACATCTGTGAATGTAAAACTGAAAATATAGTTGGTACAGGTAATTTAAATGAAAGCACGTATTAATTCAGTGTTTTTAACCATTAATATATATAATTACTATTGCATTAGTTCCTAGTGATCAAAGCTATATCTGTAAGGTATAAATTCGGCGTGCGGAAACTATCTTCCTTGTTTTATTAAATATTTTATAGTATTGATATATATATATATATTTGTATATAATCTGACAATATTTATTACATTCTTAATTAGGATCTATTGCCTGAATTGGAAGCCGGAAATCACCCTGAAGCATTAAGTCATTTTCTGTTACTGTTAAAAAACGAAGAGCCAACAAATGAAATAATTCGATTAATTCTTAGCAGAGAAGCAAAGTCTCGTGGGGACCCATTTGTAACGTCTGCTTTAAGGTGAATTAAAAATATTCATTCATAACTATCTTAAACTTTATATGATTTATATCACTTAATTAGGTTTTGGTATCAGCGGTATGAAGAAAAGCTGTCTGAAATTATAGCGTCTCTTCTTACATCCAAATATCCCAGTTCATCCCCCAATAAAAGAAAACGACCTTCTAAAGGTGGCTCCATTGTGACTAGTTCACCTTCTGCTGATCAAGTGCGTTAACTAGTCATGTATAATATTACAAATAACATTATTGTAATTATTGTCATGTCTTTAATCTACAGGTATTAAACCATCTAGAACATTATAGACGAAGTTGTAGACACGGAACTGGAACTGGACTTTATGTTCACGATATGATGCAGCGTGCACTGCAGGCGGCCTACTCAAACAGTAATGAAAGCACAAAGGTATCTAGCTACATAATATCGTAAAGCATATATTGCTTATTATTAATTGTGCTTACAGAAACAATTTAGCGATCTTTTCGCTCTGGCAGCGGAAGATGAAACCACAGCGGTTGGCCGGCGTGGAGGAAGTGGTCGTGGACGTAAGCAACCGGTCAATAAAAAAGATAGTAACAATCACAGTACTTCAAATAAAAAAAACTCGGATCTGGTTAAAACAATATACTCATCAGATGAAAACTCGAGTGAGGTTGGTGCTAATCCCATATATTGTATACAATTTATAATATTATGACTTTCAGGAGGATTGGTCCAAACATAAAATTACACAAGCGGCCAAAAAACGTAAAAAGGCAGTTAATGATTCGGATTGACAGTGTGAATATAAAAAGCATATTGCAAATATCTTTGAAATTGATGAGTACGCAATTCGTTTTGTTTTTTTTTAACGCAATAGAAAAGTTATTCGAGGAAAAAAATTTTGTAAATTAATGCGTAATAATTAGTAAAACAAATTTTAGTCTTGAATGTTGAAAATGTAAAGTTATATTTTTATTTTTAAATAAAATAAGACCAGCTTATATCTTGATTCATTTATTCTATTAGTATATGAGATAACCGGTAACCAAAACATTGAGCCATTATCTTGCCAAGGATCAATCAAGCAGCTTTCTATGGTAGGTACTTACAAGAAAGGAAGCTTACATTGTGCACGCCGAATTATGTATACACCTTGCAGATTGCAATTGGACCATAAATAATCATGTTCATATCCATCGTATACAATATGAATTATACATATTGATTAAAAAAAAAAAAACAACGAAGAAATGCCTATTTTCATTATATTCACCTATACAAATAATATATAAAGTTTTGAAGTTACAGTTTTACATTCGATAGATTTACATTTAACGAATGTTTCTTTTGCACCTTTTTTTTTTTTGGACGTTGATGCACTACGGTCAGTACATTCAAGTGGCCCGTATGAAACTAGGCACGCGCCTGTTTGGGTTAGGTGTTAGTAAGCGGGATGGAAAATATAGGACAGAATACTAGGAAATTGACTACCGGATAGGATAGGAATCCATACAATATAAATTATATATATTTCGGTTAAAGAACAATGAAGTAATACCTGCTTTCATTTCATTCACCTATACATATTATATTTGCAGTTTTACATTCGCAGATTTGCATTTTTCCTCTACATCAAACGATCATTTGTATGGCACCTATATGATATAGTCGTCCGATTTTTATGAAATTTGCCACAAAATTTAAGACTTATATAAAATGGCTATACCTCAAATTTGATGAAAATCAGCTGAAAACTAAAAAAGTTATAAATTTAATTGTATTAATTTCTCGATCGTTCCTATGGGAGCTATATGATATAGTAGTCCGATTTTCATAAAATTTTACACAAAATTTTAGAATAATATGAAATGGCTATATTTCAAATTTGATTAAATTCTGTTGAAAACTAAAAATGTTATCGCCACCGCGATTGTCAGTCTTCCGACAACAGCCACCGCCTTTCTCATTCCTCTCAAATTTCTCGATCGTTCCTATGGGAGCTATATGATATATTAGTCCGATTTTCATAAAATTTTACACAAAATTGTAGAATAATATGAAATGGCTATATCTCAAATTTGATTGAAATCTGTTGAAAACTGAAAATGTTATACTTATTAATTGAATTAATTTCTCGATCGTTCCTATGGGAGCTATATGATATAGTCGTCCGATTTTCATAAAATTTTACACAAAATTGTAGAATAATATGAAATGGCTATATCTCAAATTTGATAAAATTCTGTTGAAAACTAAAAATTGTATAATTTTTTTTGTAAAACTTTTCCGATCATTCCTATGACAGCTATATGATATAGTCGTCCGATCCGGCCCGTTCCGACATATATACGAGTGAGAGTATATAGAAGACTAACTGCAAAGTTTCATTCAGATAGCTTCAAAACTGAGAGACTAGTTTGCGTAGAAACGGACAGACGGACAGACGACTCGGCTGTTGATCCTGATCAAGAATATATATACTTTATATAGTCGGAGGTGCCTCCTTCACTGCGTTGCAAACTTCTGACTGAAATTATAATACCCTGCAAGGGTATAAAAATAAAGGTTATCCCTAGCATCGTTCTACGATTGGCTAAGGACGGCAAGTTTATTAATAGAAGTCTATTTTAGTAGGAAGGTAACCTTTGGTTTGCATCCCAATTTAAACCGCTTAGAGCGAAAAGTAAAAAGTTCTTTTGAACCGACTCGATGCATTTGCTATGGACGCCGTACTGAGGGCTCCAAATGCAGCATCCATATTCTAAGATAGGACGAACTAAAGAAGTATATAAGGGTTAAGTGACATAGGGGTCATTGAATTCCTTCGACCGTTTAATAAATCCAAGCACACCCCTTGCTCTATTCACCAGAGACGAAATCTAATCAATAAAGTCAAGTTTTGGATCAAAGCGGACTTCCAAAACATCAACAGAATTAAATCTTTCCAAAGAGCAATGTAAATCCGACAGGCAGGCGACGTTATTGTATTGCAGTATTGACGTCATCCGCGTACATAAGCACTCTGGAGTTAGTCAAAACTTCATTTATAAATAATGTAAACAATAAACACTAAACTGGGCCCAACAACGAGTTAAATAGTTTTTATTACTATGCGCGTTCAGCAGTCAGTGCACATGTATAGATCGGACCAATTGAACTCGTTTATAAAATTATTCATAAATAATAATAATAATAAGTTATGCTTAAAGTGGTCATGGATCCTTGTCTGGATCGCGTTTAGGGAGATCGGTAATTCGAAGTCAGAACTTAGCCCTGCCGAGCGTGCACGGGCTAATTCGTCTGCCTTCTCATTTCCTGGGATCTCGTTGTGTCCCGGTACCCATGTTACTTGTACCTTATTTTTGTCGGCAAGTCTATTAAGGGCCTTCTTGCATTCTGCCACTAGTCGTGAGTTCGTTTTCACGGCAGCTAGGGATTTTATAGCCGCTTGGCTATCCGAGTAGATTCGAATTCTTTTGCCCCTGAGGTCCTGCCTTAAGAAAAGTTCGACTGCTTCCCTTATGAATTGAAAGCCTTTTCAATTCCCCAATTTTCATCGAAGATCCCAGCCCCTACGCCGCAGCTCATTTTTGAGTCATCGGTGTAGAGGGACACCTCGTTCTCCACTACTAGTTTGCCCCTACTCCAGTCTTCCCTTGATGGGTATGATGTCGAGAATGCGTTCCCGAATTTCATTTCCGCGATCATGTAGTCGGTCTTAACGTCTGTGTTAATGCCGCTGTTTCCAAGGATCTTGCCGTGCCCGGCGCCGTAGTCCCTTCAGCAATTGCTCGCCTTCAGTCTTACTGCGCTCTGTGCTGCAGTGTCCTTCACGAACAGCTCTATCGGCATTATATCCAGGACAGCGTTGAGAGCAGCCGCGGGGCATGAGCGCATTGCACCCACGGCCCCCGCACTCGCTGCCCGTTGCATCCGTGTCAGCTTCGTTCTGTTGTAAGCCCTAGCTAGTGCCGGCTAGGGCTTACTAGGGTCGTCTTCATCACTTCCGCCCATTGCAGCAGCTTGACTACCGGCTTAGGCGGGGCCGGCTCGTCATGGGCCATGTACGCAGAGGATAAAGTGACTCCGCTCCCATCCGCCGCCACGAATCTGGCCACTGCTAGGTCAGGTGTGCTGAGATTGGGACAGAGAAAAGCATTAAAATGATTAATTACAATGCAAGCTCTTGACCTACCATTCGAGTTTGTGCACAGTAGTGTGTATCCTTGGATTTTCAGTCCAGCGACTTGCCCGTCCCTGGTCCAAGGCTCCTGGATCAAACCGATGTCGATATCCCTCTCCCTTATAAGGATCGTGAGATTAGCTGAAGCGTGCGAGCTGCGTTTCAGGTTAGGCTGCACGATTATCGATTTCGATGTTGGTGGGGGTGGCGTCAGGAGATTTGTCGTCGATGACCATGTCGTCCAACAATTTGTTGGTGTCATCGACTTCCTCCAGAATCTCGTCCGGCTCGGCCAAGAAGAAATTTATCTTGGCCGTCCTGATGCCGTACCGGACCTTGTGGTCATTTGCCTCCAGCTGTGGCAGACAGCGCTGGTTAATCAGCAGGAGGAAAGGATGGCTCGCCTTCATTTCCTGCTCTGCTCTGAGGATGGTCCAGTCCTCTGTATGGATGTCTGGGTTCTGGGCCTTCAGACAGGCAATCACCCTTGCATGGTCAGTTTGGCCCTTTGGTAACCAGATGCGAGCTCTGGATCTCCTTGGGATCTCCCTGGCGTGGACTAGCCTAATCTTAATGGACGTTGATGCACTAAGGTCAGTACATTCAAGTGGCCCGTATGACACCAGGCACGTGCCTGTTTGGGTTAGGTGTTAGTAGGCGCGATGGAAAATATAGGACAGAATACGAGGATATTGACTACCGGCGTGCTGCCATATTGTTAGCTTGCATGCTTACTAAGTGTGTTAGTATTAAAGATTTTAATTTGGGAAGGATATCTACGTTAGAGATTAGTGTGTACAAATCATTAGAATTTGCACATAACACTCTAAAAGGTTCATGCAGTTCTAAGGAGGTTCTACAGTGGCGCAACAGTAATGGGATATAGGATCTAGTAGTTCTACATGGTACGTGGAAATTAAGCTGACTCAACAAGTCAGCACTTTCCACATCACCATGTATAAGGTTAAAAATAAAGGTTATCCCTAGCATCGTTCTACGATTGGCTAAGGACGGCAAGTTTATTAATAGGAGTCTACTAGGAGTAGGAAGGTAATCTTTGGTTTGCATCCCAATTTAAAGTTCTTTTGAACCGACTCAATGCGTTTACTATGGACGCCGTACTGCGGACTTCAAAAGCAGCATCCATATTCTAAGATAGGACGAACTAAGGAAGTATATAAGGATTTAGTAACATAGGGGTCATTGAATTCCTTCGACCACCGTTTAATAAATCCAAGCACACCCCTGGCTCTATTCACCATAGACGAAATATGATCAATAAAGTCAAGATTTGGGTCCAAGCGGACACTCAAATTGTCAACAGAATTAATTCTTTCCAAAGTGCAGCAGTTCAGCGTATAAGTAGCAAGCTTAGGAACGACACGAGAGAATGTTATTAGCTTACATTTCGAGCCATTTAAGTTTAATAAGTTTACACGGCACCAAGTTTGAAAATTATTAAGATCTGTTTGTAAATCCGACTGGCAGGCAACGTCATTGCATTGCACGCAATGACGTCATCCGAGTACATAAGCACTCTGGAGTTAGTCAAGACTTTGGGCAGGTCATTTATAAATAATGTAAACAATAAGGGTCCCAAATGGCTTCCTTGCGGGACGCCAGATGTAACCCTTAGAACATTGGATAAATTATTCTTAAAGAGGACCTATTGAATGGCAGGATTCAAATAACTAGAACTCCAATTAAGAAGATCACTTGGAAAACCCATTGAATCGAGTTTT